CTAATAATTGAACAATTAAAATGAATACTTTAGAAAATAATTTACATTTATATGCTAATTATTTTTTAACATTTATAGATAATATATTATTTAATTATTGATTTAAACAATTTAATTGAATATTAAATATAAATACATTCGCATTTTATATTATTAGATGATTATTAAATATGTACATATCATCAATTAGTTAGATGGTTATTGGATACATCCCTACATACATTTCATTTCCTCGTTTTCATCTTGCTCTTGGTTCTATCAGCTTTACTCTCATTCTGTCATTCCTTGCTCATTTGTCTTATTCATCTGTCCTGCTGTCTGTAGTCATCTGTTCTTTCTTCCCCCACTGTTTGCTCTTCTGTTTCCTGCCCTTTAGTGAATAGACTGCCTCAACTAAAAGACTTTTACTATCTATTGCTTGTCCCTCTGTTCTTTGTGTCTACTCTCTAATTTCTCTTAATGTCCTCCTGTTCATTCTTCCTTTCTTCTTCTCCATCCCTTTCTTTTTGTTTCTCCCCAGGACACAGCAGAGTATGTTGCCTACGTCGCCAAAGACCCTGTCAATCAGAGAGGTAAAAATATGCCAAGACACTTTCACATTGAGTTCAGTCATAACTGTAAATGTAAATTACTGCTTTTCATGCTTAATTTATTTGAACTGATGTTAAATACCAGATTACTTCATTATATGCAGCAGCATTTATTGTGGATTTGAAGGGATCTCAAAAGATTTGGAATGACATGATTCATTTTTGTGTGAACTGTCCCTTTAAGGAATGTCTTGTTCTTGCCTGTGACTGGTGTCTTATATATTTAATATATTTGATGATCACTTCCTGCATTGTAGCATGTCATATCCTGGAATGCTCAGAGGGCTTGGCTCAGGAGGTCATCAGCACCATCGGCCAGGCGTTTGAACTCCGCTTTAAACAGTACCTGAAGAACCCCCCCAAACTGGTTACCCCTCATGATCGGTGAGAGCGTTTATGTGCCTGTTCAAACAAGTACTGCAAACATTTACATTCATGTCAGTGTGTTTGCACGAGTGTTTGTACATTGTTTAATGATGGTACCTCCCTAGGGTCTTTGGAAACCCCCTTAATATCCTGTATGTCTGCTTACAGCATGCTTTTGCAGTCTGTGCTCAAACACAATGCCATTGTGTCTATTTGCACTACGCACTCACATCGTACACTGAGAAACATCTTACTACTGAGTACTTTTTGCCTTATTTCCAATTAAAATATCTACAAATCTGACAGATAATCCAAATATACTTTTATATTCAACACACAATCTATGAAAACAAGTATTAATGTCGCTTTTCAGCAACAGTGTTATTATTCTTAACTAAAGCTAAAATTATTACAAATGATTTTTTCTAACTGAAATAAGTTTGATAAAACTAAAACAGTTCAAAACTAAAACTGGGGGTGCTTTCACACCTTGCCCCCCTTAGCTCGGTTCGTTTGGGCATATGTGAACACGGCAATCGCGCTCGGATCCGCGCCAAAACAATCGGTCCGAGATCGCCTGAACGAGGTGGTCTCGGCTCGATTGAAAACGAACAGTTTACTCGCGCGTGACTTGTATTAACAAATTTGGTCCGTTTAGAAACTTTGCCGTGTGAAAGCGAACCGCACCAAGAATAAAAAACAGCATTGTAATAATTTTAATCCCTGTTTCGGAACAAAGCAATCGATCTACAGGTGTGAAAGCACCCTGAAGCTGAAATACATTGAAGCTTAATAGAAATATAATGCAACTTATAAAACTGAAAAAAGCACATAAGAATATGGAAAGTGTATGCTGTTTTAAGGATTTGAGAAATTTTGACTAGAAAACAAATGTAAAAAAACATTTTATTTGTTTACTGTTCCTACTTCCTTTTTATTGAGCGTGTGTCTGTTCCTGCTAGTTGTTCCCTGCTGGTTTCAAAACAAAGCAATACATCATTTGCCATCACTCAAACAGCATGTAAATAATATATCTCCATGTAAATATAATAATGTTTATCTTTACTTTTATTTCTCTCTCTCTCTCTCTCTCTTAGGATGGCTCCTTTCGATGGGTCGGCCTGGGAGGAAGAGGAAGAGGACCTGCCTCCACCCCCAGAGGTTCCGTATTACAATAACTTCCCCGGTAAACAGCCTCCGCCTGGAGGCTTGGTGGACATGAGGACCCGTCCTGGACACAGTACAGGAGCCACGCTGGTGAGACACACATTTGTACGACCATTGGTCTTGTGGTTTTTAAGTCTTAGGAATTTGTTTTTCAATGACTGTTTTTATGTGTTATGAGTGAATCATGAAGTCACTTTTATTTGTTAAAAAGAACTGATTAGTTAGCAGTTGAAACAAGTCTTATTATTCTTTATTCAAATTTGTATGGCTAAAAATCTGCAAAGAGAATTCAGTTAAGTGTTTAAGCATCATAAGCATTTTCCTTACAAATGGCAACAAAGCAGATCTTTCATTTTTCCTCCATTGTGTGAACTGCTAAGCATGAGTAAGACACAGGAATACACACATTGGCGGCCAAACGTTTGGAATAATTACAATTTTTTTTTAATGTTTTAAGTCTCTTATGTACACCAAGATTGACTTGTTTGATTAAAGTCTGTAATATTGTAATATTGAAACTGTAATATTATGAAAGATTATTACACTTTAAAATAACTTTTTTTTTTTTGTCCGAATATATTTAAAAATATAATTAATCCATACATTTTGCAGAAATTTCAGCAGAATTTTCAGAATTTTCACACGGTCCTTCAGAAATCATTCTAATATGCTGATTTAGTTCTCACAAAACATTTTCTTATTGTTCTCAATGGTAGAAAGTTTTTGCTGCTTATTATTTTTATGGAAACCATGATGCACTACTATCTAGTAAGTACGGTTTAAAAAATTAATTCTTTTATTCAGCACAGATGCATTATATCAGTGATAGTAAAGTCATTCTATTTCAAATAAATGCTGTTCATTGAAATTCCTGTTCATTAAAGAAACCTGGAAAAAAAAGTATGTTCCACAAAAATATTAAAAATTATAAAGAATGTTTTCAGCATAGATAATAATGACGAAATATATATGAATTAAAATGTATTATTTAATTCATTATTATTAATAATAATTAATGATAATGATTTATACAATCATTAATTATTTATTCTTTTATTTAAACAAATGCTTTTGGCTCATGTTATAGTCAGTCTTCACAGGCTAAAAAAGCCACCAAAGCAGTCACACTCAGTTCAAACTAAGGCTCACTGTCTTCAAAAAAACAAAGAAAAGGATGATTCAGTGTATAGAAGTGAATTAGAATGTTTCATTCACTTAAGATTCATTTACAAACACTGATTCGTTAATCAGCAAAACTCCACTAGTTAATTTATGTGAGCGCTCTAATGCAATGTGTCTCCACAGCCCTATGGACAGCCCAGCCAGAACGACGTTCACAAGCAGCCTCTGCCTCCTCTACCAGGTCAGGTTTGCTCAAACACTAATAACCCCTGCCCTATTCCTTTCATAGTGCCACATAGTATTTGTCAGTCTTATATTGTCGCACTTCCCTTCATTTCATTTTCCTCTCAGCTGAGACTGTCATTCTGCAGAGTGAGTCAGCGGTTTTTCTGTCACTGTTCGTTGCTCTCTGTTGGACGCTGCCCAAACCTATTACACAGCTCCTTTGAGAGGTGGCTTCTGGATCGCCGGCCTTGCTGACAATACGACTCAGAATGGCACCGCTTAAGCGCACTCACCTGAAGGTTAACTCACTTTAACCTCACAGTCCTCTGTTTCTCTTTCAGTGGGTGTTAAGGAGGGAGGCTTGTTTGACGACCCTTCGTACGTCAATGTGGATAAACCCCGCCTCCCAGCGGCAGCAGCCAATGGAAATGCTCACAGAGATGCATTTGACATGAGTGAGTAACTAATGCTAGGCGGCTTGCTTGGAAAAATATCTTTATTTATGATGTATGTCTTGATATTCATGTATTTGCTCTAAACTGGCAAAAATGGTGATTTTACTTTTTTCCTTAGAGTAAAAATCTACTGAATCATCATTAAAGCATGTACTCCACTTTATTTTTCACTAAATGAACACAAGGAAGAATTTATTTTTATTTATGTGCATTAATATAACAATAGCATACAGTACAAATCTGTTTAAAATCAGTGAAAGCAATATTTGCCGTTTTTGACCATTTTTTAAATTTTAAGTTATTTTAATTTTAAAACTTAATTTTTATTATTTTCATTTATATGCTTCAATGTAACTATGGTATTTTAATATATTTAACATTAATATTTACGTACATGGCGTTCAAAAGTTTGAGGTCTGTAAGATTTAAAAAAAATGCTTTTAAAAGAGATCTTTAATGCTCACAAAGGCTGCATTTATTTGATAAAAATATAATTAGGAACAGTGATATTGTGAAATATTATTACCATATAAAATAACAGTTTTTTATTTTAATATATTTTAAGATGTCATCAGTGTCACATGGTGCTTTAGAAATTATTCACATATGCTGATTTGCTGCTCAAGAAACATTTATTATTATTATTATTATTATAAGTAATAAATAAGTGTTGTAAACATTATATTTTTTATAAAAACTGTCATCAAAATGCTTATATAGAAACTTGTTTAATAAGAAAAGGGAATATAATACCCTGAATACATATCAGGCAGAGAGGACCATAACAAGACTACGGCAACGTTACTATGAACTTGGGGAGAAATCACACAAGGTGCTAGCATGGCAACTCAAGGCAGATGAAAACAAACAAATAATAAATTCCATAGACACTGGCAATAATATTACTTATAACCCTATAGAGATAAATAGTGCATTTAGAGAGTTCTATAAAGAACTTTACTCTTCTCAAGTGAGTGACGATATGTCCCAAATGAAAAAATTTATCACTTCTGTTGACCTGCCATCCATCCCAATTTTATTTATTTTTTTTTTCCTTTTTTTTTTTTTTTCCTCTTTTTCCTTTTTGTCTTGTATTGTCCTGTCTTGTGCAAAAAGTTGTTTTGTATTTTTTGTTTATATTACAGTTCAAAAGCAAAAATAAGATATTCAAAAAAAAAAAAAACTGTCATCAGTTTTCCTTTTTTTTTAGGATTTTTTTGATGGAAAAAAAAAAGGTTTAAAAGAAAATTATTATTTGTAAGTGAAATTTTCTTTGCAATAATGCAAAAAGTCTTTACTGTCACTTGGATCAATTTAATGCATCCTTGCTAAATGAAAGTATTTCTTTCAAAAAAAAATTTATCTTACTTACCCCAAATCTTTGAACAGTAGTGTACAGTATATTTTTACTAAAATGTTTTAATACACTTAACACTAGAACTGCCATGGGGTAAATTTTACCCGTGGCTGTTTTTCAAATGTACATAAAAGATTTAAAATAAAACATTCAAGTCTCCCAGTCATTGACTTTTACTAAAATTATGTAATTTACAATCCAATGTTGTTAAAAATTTAGATAAAACCAGATAAAAAAACGGGGCATTTATACCTATAAGCCCTAGCGGGTCAAATTTACCCGCTATATAATGCATGTATTTTCGCGCTGTCATTTTCTTGCCGCTTATGTTTTAACATTGTACATTTCTAGGCAACACCTTTCACTCACTGATTTAGCGGTTATCAGTTTCATAAATAAAGTCAAAATGACAAAAAAAAAGGCGATTTATGGAAGGTAGGAATTAGAAAACACTAAATGCCATGAGTGATGGTCACCACTGATAAGGTACCACTAAATATTGTAGAAACTTAATTTGCTGTAAAGTTGCTTTACAACGATTTGTATTGTGAAAATCACTATACAAATAAACTTGAATTGAATTGAATTGATAGAGAGTCTGATGGTAAGTTATGCGTCCTGGGTCCAGCATCTGACTGACGGCGATCCAGATATCATATTTACATGTTTTAGCCTCACGTTACTCTAATTGGTCAAACTTTGATTTAATTATTTATTTTTTGTCTTGCCATATCGTTTATTGTTGGCTACTTGAATTGAATTGAATTGATAGAGAGTCTGATGGTAAGTTATGCGTCCTGGGTCGGCTCAGCATCTGACGGCGATCCAGATATCATATTTACATGTTTTAGCCTCACGTTACTCTAATTGGTCAAACTTTGATTTAATTATTTATTTTTTGTCTTGCCATATCGTTTATTGTTGGCTACTGTGTTGCTATTCTAGTCTGGCTGTTTCCTGAAGAAAAGAAAATTGAATTATTATTGCTCATTATTGTCTATAGGCTATTTTAGTCATTTAAATAGCATGGGTTATCTTAATATATTGATTAATGACATTGTATTATAATATTACACCACCCAAATATTTAGGCTACTACCTTCTCATTTCCGTTTCAGTGCAGGGTTTTTTTTTTTTTTAGCTTGGGACTACTGACCGTTATGGATTTGTAGCCTGCATTAAAAAAGTCTTAAACATAAAACAGTAGGATAAAAATATAGTTGATGACTAGACAATCATTTCATGACTCTAGACACTTCTTTGTGAAGACAGTGGCATAATACAGTGAAATAATATGTTCTTTAGCCATATAAATACAGTTGTCATGTGCGTGGGTAAAATTTACCCGCTGGTGCTTTTAGGTATACAGCGACCTCTGGCGGTTCTAGTGTCAATACAAATGCCATACGTTTTTGAGTGATGTGCAAAAAAAAAATGTTGATTGATTGTTTTGATTAATTCAGATAGTTTAAACTGATTAATAATAAATGAATGGATTTGACCAACTCCTAAAAAGTCTCCTAACTTGATACATATCAATATATTGCCCAGATTTTCACATTTTCTTTATGGAGATTCCTTATATGTTTTAGATGAGTTGTTTTTGCTTTGTTTTAAAGAGAACATTTGGGTTTGCTGTACTTTTTTCTAGTTCAGTTATAGGTGCAGTTATAAATTGTCTATTTATTAAATTTATTAAGTAAATTGTCCAAAAATACAACAGTATTGTGCTCTCTATCTTTTAGAGCCGTTTGATGCTGCTTTAGGAGTGTCGGGTGCAGTGGCGCCCCCTCTGGCAGAGCAGCTGCAGAACGAGCCCTGGTTCCACGGACCTCTAAGCCGCAGGCAGGCCGAAAGACTCCTGACCAAGGATGGAGACTTCCTGGTGCGGGAGTCAGGCACCACACCAGGCCAGTACGTCCTCACTGGACAGCAGGGCGGCCAACCTAAACACCTGCTTCTGGTGGATCCAGAGGGAGTGGTGAGTAATATGATAAAATACACCACACTCTCAATATTTTGCCCTTATCAAAACAATTCTTTACCATCTTTTTTACTGTCATAGGTGCGCACCAAAGACCACCGCTTCGAGAGCGTCAGTCACTTGATTAGCTATCACATGGACAACCGGCTGCCAATCATCTCGGCAGGAAGTGAGGTGTGTCTGCAGCAGCCAGTTGATCGCCGTGCTTGAAAAATAACAATTTTCTCCACCTCACATTTAAGAGAAAAAACTCCTCCCTTTCCTACTTTTTGCCAGACTCTATTAGAGAAAAAACTGTTTTTCCAGCTGGGAGTGTAAGCTAATCATATCTTCACAGAAACACAGAATTTTGTACCGCATCAACCACCGGTCATGAAATTACAAAGCGATGCAATCATTCTACTCAAGGACTAAAGGACACGTCGCTTGAAATAAGTGATTACAAAAAGCCAAACGATGAGGCGTCTGAAAGAGAAGCAGATGTGTAATGGATGTGACATCACTTCCCAAACACGACATCATGTCTTGAATTAAGACTGGGGTGCACCTGTAACCATGGCAACAGGCCCGGGCATTCTTCGAGTCGAGAGTTGATGTCAATGTACTAAAATTGCAGAACCTTTGTAGCACTCTAAAGATTCACATCTGGTGCAATGGGCGAAATCCAAAGACTCGAGCTTCATATTGATCGTAGAGCCTACGTACTGTTGCGGTCGTTTGGAAATCTCGCGAGACTGTTTGATGTATATGCAAAACTTTAAAGAGAATACAGAGCTCATTCTCCAATCACAGACATCATCTTTCACGGCGAATGTGCAATTCCCACCGGAATATCACTTTCCCAATTTTCCCGCCAAGGGAAACCACACAAAATGCCTCTTATTCTCAACCTCACAATACCCTTTACAGAATTCCGAGCGTGATCCCCAAGAAAAATTTTGAATTTTGGTCATTTGGGAAGACCCCTGAACATATGTGAAAGCTTTAGGATGCTGTGTGGATTTTTCCTTATGCAAATAAGCAGACGCTGTGAGGGACTTGTTATGAGAGACAACAAACTAGTCTGTGGAAAAAGGGACCGTTCCCTTTCCACATAACATCATATATCAGCCTGGGACAAAAGGGACGAGAAAAAAAATGAAGTGCAATCAGTAGACATGGGAATAGGACTGAAGGTCTGTGGTTTGAGATCTGATTGAAGCCTTCTTATGATGTCATTTTAACTAAGAATTTCTGCCGCAGTGATGTCATCTCGATCAGCTGACGACATCATTGGGATGGGTTTATTCTGGGAAATGGAGGCTCTATTTTTCTTTATCTTTTTCTTGTGGACATTACTTCTTTTCGCATTGACAATCGATCTTCACGTGTATCGAGGTGTCAGCTGCTTCTGTACGTTCGGAGACTTGAGTTACAAGAGAAAGCGTAAGGAGGAGGATACGTTGTGTATTATAATACTTGAACGACATCGATTGCAAGGGGACACACCATCCAGGAAGAGGAAAAGCACTCCGAATGAATTCTGAACGTGTCTTTGCAGCCACAAGTGTAGTTTCTGTTGAAGCCACAAACAGGAAACCACTTGTTTCATCTTTGTTTGCTCTGATATTGATTGTGCCTTTTTTACCAAACAGACACACTGAGAAAAAAAAACACACAGTCGCCTTTTGTGATTCTATAGGTAATCATGACACTTTCTTTTCTGGAAAAAACACAACTGAAAAGATAATCAACTGCAAAAACGACACAAATTTAGTGAGGCTCAGTGCAGGTCTTCGTTTTTGGCACGTTAATTCTGCTATGCTGTTCTTACTGTGCTTAGTTTAGTGCTGGTCTGTGGGTATCGCATTATGTTGCTTAAACACCTTCTATCTCTCATTTAGAAACCGACATTAGATGCCCTGTAAAAGAACATGTAAATAAGCTTTGCCTATGCTCATAGCGGTCTAAAACCAGTCATTCACTGTGGATCTGTGTCAAATGGGAATTTGCAAGCTCACAGGATTGTACTGGGTGAAAAAACATAAAGGTGTAAGATCTGACATGCTCTTCTGAAGACAATGCAATCACTTTGTGTTTATCACACAAATCTATGTAAATGAATGAGGATTTGCTTAGATGTACAAAGACCCTTATCTGGATGCATTATGAATCTGAAATGGGCAACGGTTTTATTTTTAGGCTTTTTAATGGATGTAACTTGTGGATTTTGAGTCAACGGTCAACATTCATTCCACATTATAAATCCAAATGGATCCCAGCCGCAACTGTATGCGACCAGCCTTCACGCTAATGTGAATTGTAGCCTGTTGTAATTCATATGAATGCATTGAATGGGTTTTTTAATCATTTGACGTCAGACTTTTTTTGTGCTGATAGCACCACAGATCTGGCCACTAACTGCTAATGTAGTTTAAACAAAGTGTGTTTATGAGTCTGTGTGTGCGTGGATGCATACATAGGCAGGGCTGGAATGGTCTGGAATAATCTGGCTTTTACAACTCTGACTCGCCACTAAACTGTTTGCTCATTTTCATATTTCACAGCGGCCTTTTGTTGCATGGAGACACTTCCTGTTATTGTGGTAATGGTGACTTTTGTGTTGTCGGTTGGTTGCTATTTTCTAAGCCAAATGCTTTTTTCTTGTTTGCCTATATAAATGTTGCTTCTTTTTTTAAATACATGTTTTTGATTATTTTAATTATTCTTTTTATGTTGTTGTTCTTTAGGTGCTGTAATATCACCTGTATCAAATGATAGATTACATATATAAATACATATATCATTCACCTTTCTTGATGCGTTTCATTTCACCTATTGCCTATTACCTAATTTTTTTTTAATCTAGATCTGTTTTAAGTTCATTAATAAGCATAAATCTATTGCTCATTTGCTATTTGTGACCCCAAATCTCAGAATCGTATTGCTGTGATTGTTCTTCTTTAAGATTAATCCTGTAATCCCGTAAATCATTCAGTTTGACACTCATAATATTATAACAGAAAAAATGACAAAGTCTGTATTTGGTTGCACACTGTGCGTGAATTTTTTGACAGTCATTCAGGTCCTTTCACTGCACAGTAGAGGAATTAGAGATGAACAATAGGTAGATGAGAGATGTTGCGAGGCCATTGTGCAAAAGAAGGTGAACAGCTAGCTGGCATTTTCCAGAGCTGAATAAAATCCGTTTTACAGGGGGCACTGGGCCTGTGTATCCCACAACACACAGGAGTCAGTTCGCTCCAGGGTTTCATCTGAAGAGACGTTACGGTTGAAGGAAAAAGTGGAGACCCACAACGCGCAGCGGCAAACAAGGACCTGGCCCGCTCTCCTCCAGTTCCTCCCTTCGAGTATCGCTCGCGCTCTCCAGTCGACCGTGGAGCGGTGGCGTGAGATGCATCCACAGCGTCCGCTACCCCAGGCCATGCCCTCCTCACTGGGCCAAAACCTGAGAGATGCAGCTCTGAGGATGGGCCTTGGCAAGAACCTGCTGGGAGGGAATGTGGCTTATGGAGTTATCCAGTCTCTTAAAGAGTGCCTCTACTTCCTGCTCTGCTGCTGGTGCATCAAAGAGATCCTGGACTAAGAAAAAGGTAAAAACATATATTTAAAAAAAAAATTATAAAAAAATATTAAAAATAATATTTATGATGTTTGTGAAAGTAGCATCTATTAACAATCAGTGTTTTAGTATGAATTATATTATAGTATTTATTTAATTTATATATATATATATGTACTGTATGTATGTGTGTATACAGTTGTGCTCAAAATTATTCATACCCTTGGTAAATATGATCAAAGAAGGCTGTGACAATTAATCTGTATCATCAGTCCTTTAGATATTTAATTTAAAAATGTACTAAAATCTAACCTGTCATTGGAGAATAAGAATTTAAAATGGGAGAGAAATCTCATTATGAAATAAATGTTTTTCTCTAATACACATTGGTCACAATTAATCATACCCTTTTATCCAATACTTTTTGCAACCTCCTTTTGCCAAGAGAACAGCTCTGAGTCTTCACCTATAATGCCCGAAGAGTTTAGAGAATATCTCAGAATCTCTCCAGACCCTTCAGATTTCCAGCTGCATGTTGATGCTTCTCCTCTTCAGTTCACCACACTCGTTTTCTATAGGGTTCAGCTCAGGGAACTGGGTTGGCCAGGGCAGAAGCTTGGTTTTGTTCTTAGTGACCCATTTTTGTTTTGATTTCAATGTTTGTTTGTGGATCATTGTCCTGTTGGAAGATCCAACCATGGCCCATTATAAGATTTCTAGCATGGACAGTTCAGTTTTTAATTTTTTATCGATTGGTATTTTATAGAATCCATTATGCCATCTATCTGAACAAGATATCCAGGATCTCCGGCAGAAAAATAGGCCCACAACATTAAAGATCCAGCAGTAGGCCTATATCTCATTGTACACATGGGGTACTTTTTTATCCCTGTGTGCACCAAACCCATCTTGAGTGTTTGCTGCTAAAAAGCTCTTTTTTTTTTAAAGTTTCATCTGACCATTGAACCCAGTCCCGTTTAAAGTTCTAGCCGTGTCTAGCAAATAAATATGCTGGAGTTTGTTTTTGGATGAGAGCGTTTTCTTTTCTAGTTTTTTCTTGAAACCCTCCCAAACATTGTTTTAAAAAAAAAATTTTTTAGGCTTTCTGACCCCAAGACTCAACTATTTTCTGCAGTTCTCCAGCTGTGATCCTTGGAGTTTTTGGCCACTCAAACCCTCCTCCTCACCGTGCATAAGGACGATAGACACACGTCCTCTTACTGTATTAGAGAAAAATATTTATTTCATAATATGATTTCCCCCCCCTTTCTCTCTTTTTTTTTTTTTACTCTAATTAAAGGTTAGATTTTTTTTTTTGAATGAAAGATCAAGTGGATAAACAATGCGGATTTATTTTCACAGCCTTCTTTGATCATATTTATCAAAGGTTTAAAAATTTTGAGCACAACTATATTATATATATATGTGTGTGTGTGTGTATATATATGTATGTGTGTGTATATGTATACATTTTATAATAGTAATTTTAGTACATGCACTTCTTTCATTCAGTTAAAGGGATAGTTTATTATTATTAATAATAATAATTTTGTGATGTTTACCAAACTAGCATTAATATGAATTACATTGTAGTAATGATAATAAGGTCCCATCGACTTTATTATTATTATTATTATTGTTATTATTATTATTTAATAGTGATAAGCACTATTGGTTAGATGAAATAATAAGCACTATTTGGTTAGATTAAATAAATTTTTCATTTTATTTCGGCTTTATTTCAGTTACTGAAAACGATTTTTAGTCATTTTAATTTGATTTAAGTAAATAAATAACTAATAAACTATTTTTCTAAGCTTTATGAGGTTAATGTTGAACAATACTTAAATGGTAATTTATATAGATTATTTAACCATTTACAGAAACAAAACGAGGGCTCACAAACATTTATCCTTGACCTTGAATAAGTGTGTGCAATCTAGTGATGTTACCATTAGAGGGCGCCCTATGCAACTGAAAACAATTCTAGTACATAGGTAGATTATTTTGAAGCCCGAATAAATTTCATATTACTAAATTAGTGGGTTAATCGTCATATGATATTTAAAACAGCTGTACTGTGATATTTATGATGTTTCCTTTTTCAGTGCTTTTGAGCTGGTGAATGATTCATCACAGATGTGTTGATGCTTTGGCCTGAATCCAGATCTCTTCACACATGCATAAACACTCATGCCTCACAAATATTAGAGGCTGCTGTAGCAATGCATTTCAAAGCAGCGCACCACACAGGCTTCATATGAGGAATATAGACCACGTCCCTGTCAACATGCTGGTGGTATTCAAACATGTTTTAAATGACACTGTTTGAGAAAATTGTACAATAAAAAAACCACAACAAAAAAAACGATTGTGTGATTATTTTTAAATAGCTCACAAAAAAGGTCCCGAGGCTTTTTAACTGGTTTAAAACGTAAGGTACAAAGTGTGACTGTATAATGTGGACCTAATAGTTTGTGTAAAGACACTACACTACCAAGAAGTACATTTGTGAATACAAATGCAACAAATACAGTATGCCATAAATATGTGTTAGAATCAAACATTTTACACAAATGTATACAAAATTTGTTATAATGCATGCTGAAAACAAATGGCATATCAGATGCTCTATGCAAATAAATATTGTAAACTGAGGCATTTCACTAAACGCCAGTCTATAGTCACTTATCTATAGAGTTTCGTGGAGGGAAAAAAGCAGGTTATGCTTGCTCATGCAAAACTATTCACCGCAGTGCTAGTGTGTTTTGGGTGGTTGATATGGCATTAATACAGTTGCTAATTTTGTGGTTTTATGTTATGCAGATTGGGTTTTCGAAGTGTTTGCTTACTGATCCATGTCAAAAAGCTATAAGCATAAAACTAGGGTCACTAAATATGGCTCAGGCCACCGTTTCAAAAGTCTAGTCTCATTTTTATAAAATGACTATATACAACGATAACTATAAAATTATAGTGAGTTTTTAAATGAATTTAAAAAATACAAAAGTTCAATAAGGAACAACATCAATCGAAATAAGGATACATTAGTTAACTATAAGCAATTGAAGAGCATCACAAACATAATTTCTTGTTATTAGGACGTTATTATTTTGTTTCAAACTGCTCTTGAAATTGCAAATACAATTTTCAAATAACAACAAAGCACACAAATGATACTACTGTATATTAAAGTCTTGCTTAAAGAACACCCTCTCCATCTTTTACGTAACCAGACTTATACATCAAGTCTAATACATATGGATGGAGGTTTGTATAGATCCTTTTCCCATTTGTTTGAGCACATGCTCCTAATTTTCATGTCACCTGCGTTTGTCAGTCACAAAAAAAGTGTGCTTTGAAGGACGGAGGATAAAGTATGCTGTCATTGGTGGAGAACGCAGCATGTGGGCGGGACATAGCTCAACGGCAAGCGCTGATTGGTGAAAAACTTTCGCGATCGAAGGTCTGTCAACAAAACTGCACACTTGAGTTTGCAACTTTGCACAAGACACTAGAGAGTGGTGGAAATTAAAGCGGTATTAAAGGCGGAAGGTCCTTCAGAGTTACCAGGTATGCTTCTCTTTTAATACTTTTAGACATTTTTCGTATTTAACCAAACTCACATCGCATACACGAAGCTTGTGGGCTTGTTTCTTCTATATTTCCGGCATGTGTGTGTTATGTAAAGTGCGACTTCGACATTTGCCTGTGGATTTTATTGAACACTCCCCTTTTGACTGTGTGTCTGCTTAAAATGTACACATACGTCTAACATCTGTGTAACATACAAACACACAGAGAACATGCGATATATGACGCATGGAAATAATAATTATGCTGATATTCGCATGACGTGAGATGTGTCCTTGAATGGGCATTTTATGTCGGAGGAGATGATGGGAGAGATAAGAGAGACACAGAGGACCTAATGAAGCTTTTCCTTTACACTTCAAAAAAATCTCGACTCACCTGGTTTAACAATTTAAAAAAATTACCATGGTAATCAATCATAGTTAACCCCCAAAATAACATACAGTTATTGTTACTTCTGTAAAATAAGCAATAATTTCTATTATCGTGTATAATACAATAATTATTGCTAAAATTACTTTATAATTGTATTAAGTTAATATGGAACACCTTCCAACCTCATAAAGCGTTCAAAAAGGTAAATAGAATAGGTAAAGGTAATAGAATTGTTTCGGATAATACCATTTTGGTGCACTTTGTGCTTCTTTCTGTGTTATTTATAGCTGCTATCTATTTCAGACATTCTTCTATATCCTCAACTCTCATGGCTCATGGCTACATTGAAAAAAAAAACTCTCATGAGAGCCACATTATTAGCAGACCCAAATTACTGCGAAAGGAAAAAGATCCTTATTAAAGAGTGAAGTGTGTCACAAAGTGGTACGTCGGTGATTAGGCCGCTTTCATTTTTGAAATTCGCATGGAAGATTCACCATTTCGGCTTAACAGGATCCCATTCTTGCTCAGTTTATGCCAGATCTATTTAATATTCGGATCTACTTAATATTCGAAAGATTTAGCACAAATGGAAGAATGTTTGAATACGGTGCAGTAATTAATTGAAATGGCTATTAGTCTTTGACCCACTTGGAAAAGTAGCTCACGTCTTTCTCAGTTTTCTGGTAGTGAGCAGTAGGTCCATTGCTTTGTTTTTTCAGTGCTGTCAGTATGTGTATAACTCCACCATTCTCTCCTGCATTAATGCCTTTAGGGCTGTTTCACTTGACATCCTTAGTTACATAGTTCTTTGCCAAAATATTTGCCAGCCAGGGAGCTGTTGGTGTAACCAATGAGACAACACAAGGATAATACTAATGAAGTGAAAACTCTTCACTCTCTCCTTTACTCCTGTGTTTTTTCACTAGTAGAGGCCTGTAGTGGAGATACCATCCTCATTGAACTCACTCACCACCCTCTCTATTACATCAACGTTGTTCTTTTCGATTATGATATGATGTGTACAAGCATATGTGATGTATGCCAATACATTAGTCTTGTACGTGTTCAAGGTCCTTTACATATCCTTTACTTCTCTACATTTTAACATGCAATGAAACTCAACCCACAATAGAGATGGCTCTTAAATTTTTGTTGTATTTGTCTATTAATTTGTTACTGAAATTGAGCTGATGACTTTCTAATATGCTCGTGTTTTTCAGTTGCTGAACGGAGCCACTAGGGGGCAATGTCTGAAAACAGCAACAGTGCCAATAGCAACAACTGGACCCTTCTTACTCCGGAGGTAAAGGTGTGTTTCAGTGTCGGAGGCCTGGGTAAAAGTCTCTGTGGTCTGAAAATGTTCATGTTATTGCATACATATCTTGATACAAGCGTCAATGACATTACATTCTATCTGTCAATTTATTCAAACCTAATATGCAAATTCATACATGCAGTGACTTGAATACACATCTTCTGTTTATATGGGTGTGGTATTTACGAATAATTTATGGAGGCATAGTATTTATGTAGTATAATCAAGAACTCATGATATTTGTAATAATAATAGGCAAGGCAAGTTTATTTATATAGCACATTTCATACACAATGGTAATTCAAAGTGCTTTACATAAAAGAAATGAAAATAAAAAAATTAAAAAAATAATCACAACAATACTTTAATGATTATACATAAAATATAGTGCAATCAGTTCGGACATTGCTCAGTGCTCATTCAGTAAATGCACAGCTAAACAGATGAGTTTTGAGTCTGCATTTAAATGTGACTAATGTTTTAGCACATCTGATCTCTTCTGGAAGCTGATTCCAACTGCGGGCGGCATAATAATAGTAATATATACACTCATGGGGAAAATGGTATTACTTGATGTCCTGATATCATAATGAAAAAAAAAAACAAGGCAAGGTTAGTGTTTCAACTTCTGAAAATGTACTATTTATGAATCTACTGATTAATGATATTTGTAGTAGTTCTAGTAATATAATAATAATAATACATTTACCTTGCAGAATATATTTTTAAAACCTTTTTGAGTGATTCAGAAGCATACAATCACATGTGGAAAATTACTTGGTGACATTTTTATGAAATGTAATCTTAAAAAAAAAAAAAAAGGTATGAAAGTTTTGAAAATCCATCAATAAATAAAAATACAAAAAATATACAAATATATATACACGCACACATATGGGCACATTTTTAAAGTAGATTTTTAAGCTAGTTTAATGCTCACTTTGTAGGATATTGCGTCAAAACAATGCTCAGATTATGTATGAGATTAGGTTTGTTTGACAGAGGCACTTTTCATGTGCAGGAGTCTGGAGTTGAGAATGTGGGTCATGTAGCTGAAGGTCTTAAGATCGAGGGGCAGATCTCAAAAGCACCTGAGCCCTCACCGGAGGCCCACAGTGACCTGGAGAAGCACTCCTCTGAAGCATCTGCTCACCAGCCGGAGACAGAGACATCCAAACAGTTGCAGTCTGACCCAGCTCTCACCCATGAGTCAGAGCCTCCAGAGCTATCTCAGGTGTCCTTCCTCAAATAAACGCTTCAGATGATCTAAAATCCTGATGGCCATAACCTATTTTACTATATTACGTTTAGGTCGGCCAAAAAAATAAAATTGTCATTTTGTCATCCTTTTTTAATGTAAAATAGTAACTAAATCTACCAAAATGTTAAGCAGGTAACGTCTCCAGAGACGAGTGAGGGTCGGGCCCAGCTGAATGCAGCACATGTCAGTGAAGAGCCCAGCTCTGTCAGTGCCACTGTTGAGGACATCAGCTCCTGGACCCCTGACCATGAGAAACTAGGTCTTTCAGAGAGCCCAGTTACTCCCAGCGCTGATATCGATTCATTCTCTGACTCTTACACTCACATAAGTCCTACCTCTGGATCAAGTCCACTTCCTGCTTCAGTTTGTCAGGAAAGAGACTGGTTTCAATCGGATGAGGATTCACTGAGGAAAACCATAACTGAAGGTGAGAGACTGTGCAACAAAAGTGATAGTCACATATTTTTTTACCTTTGTGCATTTATATCTATTTTTCTGTTCATTTGATTTTGAACGAGTTTGTTTTTAATATTTGTTGTCTGTGTTTTTTAAGTACTGTATATATCTTTAAAGTGTTGGTGGTGGTCAAAACGGAGCTTAACTGCAGTTGGCAGGTCTGTTATGGAATAATGATGGACTTGCATGATGACTGGTGGCAGCTTGACAGCTTGATTTTCTGTTTATTGTTTTTTATTTATATATAAATACAGCGTGCCCGCTCTGATTACATTTCGGATGCATCATTCTCTCTGTTTTTCGCTCTCTTTCTTAAGGTGAACATTTGCTTGTACCTGCATCCTGAAAACACTACAGATTTTGTTTTTATTTCCCAAATCTTTTTAAACAATGTAAAATTGTGTGTCAGTGTTTGTCTTTAGGAAATGTATGCTCTTTTATGTAATTTGAAGAAAGGCTTGATAGGATTTTTTAAATGGTTTTTGCAAGTCACAACTAGTCTCTTACGCTCACCAAGGCTGCATTTATTTGGTCAAAAATACCATAAAAAAGTAATATTGTAAAATATTTAAAATATTTCTATTTTAATATATTAAACTGTTTTCTATTTTAATATAATTTAAAGTGTTATTTTTTTTCCCTGTGATACCAAAACTGAATTTTTAGCAGCCATTAACACAGTTTTCAGTGTCACCTGATCATTCAGAAATATGCCGATTTTGAGATCAAGAAACATTTCTTATTATTATCGATGTTGAAAACAGTTGTGGTGCTTAGTATTTTTGTGAAAACTGACTTTTTTCAGAATTGTTTGATGAACAGCATTTATTTGAAATGTGAATCTTTTGTAACATTGTAAATGTCACATTTGTTTAAATGAATGCTTCCTTGCTGAATAAATGTATACATTTCTTTTATAAAATCTTTCTGACCCCAAGCTTTTAAATGGTTTTGTAAATGTATGATAATTTAGCTTGGAAATGCTTCAGTGTGGCATGTTTCAGTCGTCTTGCTAATGTGTCTTGAGAAGAGTTTAATGCTAGATCACTGAAGCTGCAGACCAGACTGATGACGTGACCGTGGGGAGTTCCAGGAATAGAGCCTCAGTCTCAGTACACGAGCGTAGCCTTCATTCGCCAGACAACCCTAACCCTACAATCAGAGAACAGTGAATGCTTAATAATATGTTCCAGGGCCAAAAAAGGATGTTCATGTCCTACTCTTGCAAATAATGTTAGCTATTATATGAAGCATCCATAAAAGCCATTTAAAAAAAATAGCAATTTGGCTGCTGCACTAACCAGCTGGAAAAAGATTGCTTGTTTTTTTTTTTTTTTTGATGTGAAATGCAATTGCAATGCAGTTGTGTATTTGTCTAATACCTACTGAATATCCCCCAATAATCATGTGCCCCTTTTCTGTGTAGAGTCTAAAGAAGTGTTGGAAACAAACAGGAAAGAGGGGTATGGTTTACGAAAGAGAAAAATCTCCCACCTGGGCTCTTTGGACAAGACTGAGGCAGAAGATGATGAAGAGGGGGAGGAGGAAGATTTTCAACCACCTCAAAGAGAAGAGGAAACAGTCTTTTCTTTGAACAAGTGCATCCTTGCAGCTGTCATTCTTCTTGGACTAGGGACCATTTTCTTCTCTGGTGAGCATCAGGGCCCTTGTTTTTACACTCTTGAATTAAATCAAATGAAATACAGATCGCTGTATTCTCTAGATTCATTAGAAATCCAGTTCTTAGCATATTCAAACGTTGGAAGTAATAAACGTATCACTTTAATAATTCTTCCTAAATGCTTATTTAATTACCATATTCAGCACCAAAAAGTGGGTCTTTTTTAAAGGGGTCAACGGATGTGACATGCACTTTTACAAGTTTAAACTGAAATGTGTGTTGGCAGTGTGTGTGTACACAACTACCCTGATGATAAATATCCACCCAGTGTTTTTGTTTTTAATCTCATTAAATCATTTCCCCTTTCTCAAATCAAGCCGTTTTCAGATGCCTGTCTGTGTGACGTCACACAGACCAAGGCCCCTCCCACGATAGTTGATTGACACTAACGTTTTACCTTAGACCCGCCCTGAGTGAGCTGTCATCAGTCCGCCATTGTTTCACCACCGGAGCAGCTGTAGACAAGATTGTCTCCTAAGTGATTGAGGTGCTTTGTTGTTGGATGTAATAATGAACATAGCAGTCGTCATTTACTCCCGCTGAAGATGCAGTGGATTACGTTTTTTTTTAAGGGAATGCACCCCCGATCTACCTAAATGCGTCTATGTTCGCGCAAATCATTTGTGATCCAGCTTCACCTCCAGAAGAAGTGAGTATAAGGTTTTTTAATGAATCTTTGCAAATAATGTGCTAGTTAAAGTAAACAGTCTCTCAGAGAGAGGCTCGGAAGAGAGGGGCGGGGTGAGCAGAGCTCATTTGCATTTAAAGCGG